CCCTGGAGGGGTTCAAGGCCAGGCTGGATGAGGCTTTGGGCAACCTGGGCTAGTGGGAGGTGTCCCTGCCCATGGCTGAGGGTGGGACTGGGTGATCTTTAAGGTCCCTCCAACACAAACCAGTCTGTGATTCTGTGACCCACATGACATTTGTATGCATGGTAAAAGCCACAGTACTTTCCTTGGCAGGAACACATGGCTGTCAAATTACAGGTGTTTTACCTAGTGCTAGTTATCTGAAGGGATGAGCAGTTTCTTGACAGTCTTGACCAGTAGAAGGATGACATCCCAATGCAAGCTTACCAGTATTCCTTCCCCACCCAGGAGAGCATTTTAATGTTATCACACATCAGATGATTTAGAATCCTGCAAAAATCTAAAGATGGCAGGAACACATGGCTGTCAAATTACAGGTGTTTTACCTAGTGCTAGTTATCTGAAGGGATGAGCAGTTTCTTGACAGTCTTGACCAGTAGAAGGATGACATCCCAATGCAAGCTTACCAGTATTCCTTCCCCACCCAGGAGAGCATTTTAATGTTATCACACATCAGATGATTTAGAATCCTGCAAAAATCTAAAGACATAAGCATTTGTTGTAAAGGAAATAGTGTACCTTAAGCTGTCCCACTACCATACTGAGTATACAGCTGTCAGGTGTAGGTTGGTGGTCTTGTGCTGTGATGCTGTGTTGTATTTTTTGGAAAGGAAGGCTCTGCAATGAAAATAAAGCAAAATAAGGAACTGTACAGACATTGCATTACTTAACTTATTAAACAAACATCAAGCAAATCCAACATTATGAAGTGTTAAGACTATTTTGGTAGTACTGCATGAAGAGCTGTCGCAACTTGACACTACCCAGGCTGGGTTGATCGTAACAGTCGTATTTTTCAAGCACCAAGACATGAAATAATACGTCAGCCCATACGTCAAGCGGTACCTTTTCCTATTCTAATTACACTGCCTGAAGCGCTTCAGTTCATCTACAAGGTGGAAGCTCCTAGAACGAAGGCACAAAGTTACTCTGCTCTGAACAGTGTTACAAGATTGTTTACCAGCCAACTCAACATTTGCTTCTTTGTTGAACTGGCTATGAATACAAAGGAAAGGTGGTTGACCAAGAACTAATGTTCAGGACTTGAAATCCACATATCCACCTTTCCCCTTTTGACTTTCCTTCATAACAGCACCTGAGGTGAACGAAAACAGCAAGAGGCACCATCTGTGCCATGGACCAGGCAGGAGGAGGGGGAAAGGAGGAGGAATTTGACATCAAAAGCACACATATTGAAAAGAAAAAAAGCTTTCCCCACTCAGGTAAGCAGATGCAAGTATGTCTGCAGTTAAGTGTGCAAGAAACACACCTTGAGAATCACCAGACATTGTGGAGTAATTCCTCTCTTCCAACTTAGACACGTTCACATTCCAACAACAGATGACTCCAAGTGGTGAACATCAAATATCTGGGAGACTTCAGAATCCTGTCACACAAACGCAATTTTGGCACTCTTCTATCAAAAGCTGCATTAGTGCTAGATGGTGTAGAAGTGGCAGTTCAGCACAAATGGAGCTCTGAGTGACCATGTGGCTGACCCCCACTGCACCTGACAGCAGCATGCGGTCATTTAAACCTCAGGTTATACTTTGATGCCCTTGCTTCATTTCCCTGATTTATTAACAGGCTGAGGCAGACCCAAGCATGTAATTTTACAAGTTCTGCATTTCACTCTGGTGGAAGGAGCCTGAAAAACTTCCTAAAAGGCCAGAGTACAGGAACAGGAGACCCAAGTCCTGCTGCCAAGGATGTGAAGTACAGACTTGGCCCTGACAAGCGTAAGGCTTCAGGAAGAATACCAGGAAGCTAAATCTTTGGATAAGAGAGAACACAAGCTGTGGAAGGATCAGGACATGAGGAAGAAAAGGAAGTGTACAGAGCAGCCCTCTAATCACAGAGGGATACTATTCAAGAGTACTCTCTTATGAAGCCTGCAGTGTTTCCTCTTGGCTAGAGGAACAACCCTAGCCTGCCATGAACTGCAAAAAGTGAGCCAACTGGTTTGTAATACGGAATAGACATCCAATCACAAAAAAAAAAATCCAGAGCAGTCTTTTCTGAACTACCAGCGGAATATTTTCCAGGGTCACCATCCCAAACTTGAATGTGCAATGTGCCCGCACAGCCTGCACAAGCGTAAGCTTGGACATTGCACACCCTCCCTTCGACAAAAAGAGTACTGTGAAACCTGGTCCCACCTCAGCACAACAGCTTCTTGTTGAACGAGTCTTGCAAGAAGAGACTCTTGAAAAGGCAGAGGAACGAAGGGGAATGAATGAGCTTGTATTCAGAACCCAGCTTACAGTGTGACAAGATGCCAACGAGAGGTGAGACTGAGGAGAGAAGGCAGGCAGGAAGGAAAGGCTTCAGAGTCAAGAGCCCTGCAAAATGGGGACAAGGAGCCAAAGACAAAGCTGGGTAAGCTGGTGCCTGCTTGTGCCCTTCAGAAAAAAGGACTCCGACGGTTGGCCAGACAAGTGAACCACTCATGTGGAGAAAATCCCACTGGAAAGAGGAGGGTCAGCTGATAGGAAAGATCACAGATTTTTAGGATAGAGAGAATACGCCTCAAAAGGATGGTTGCTTATGGACATCCATCTGCACTGAGAAAAGCATTTCCTGATAGGAAGAGTACAATAAAAGCAACTAAGTGAGAAGCCACACAACAACCTCTTTAGTGTCCTCTGACACTAAAACCTGTCTGGGCTTTCATTACCAAAACCGTGGAATCCTCCTTGAAGTCAGGAAAGAAAAATTCTGCAAGAATAAAGTTGAGTAGCTTAAACTCCTGGCAACAAAGCCACCTGTCCCGGCTTCCTCCTTTGTCCAGGAGGCTTGTAGAACTACAGGATTATCCATGTAAATTGGGCTGCCCCCTGCTTAGGACAGGCACTCTATTTGAGACAAGTCCTGTACCAATGAAGACAGAAGGAACAAGTGGCAGCTCCAACTCTGTAACAAGGTTCAGGTGCACCGGTGCTGGCAAGGCAATGTCTTTACACCCTTGCCCTGCTGTGCTAGCATCATCTGACAGAGTCAGCTGAAAAGGTGCCACAGTGTTACTGTCACGCAGCAGAGAACTTGCTGTAAGAGAAAATCCTGCCTCTTGGTGCTTCCATTGATTAATCAGCCAGGCACTGAAGAAAACAAGACCACAGAAGTGCAAAAGAATTTCAGCATCAAACTTTCAGTGATCTGCTCAACTAAGAAGCTCCAGAAGCCCAAACTGAGTAGGTGAGCACGTTAAGTTGAAACGGCAAACAGAGCCCAAGCAGCTCAGTGCTGACAGAGGTACGCTGAAGACATCAGAGTCACGGTAAATTGATACAGTCCCCTAACGAGCCATGACAGTGGAGTGGCGTGAAATAATTTTACTGCATTTCCTCCTCACTTTAAGCAGATGGATACAAGTCAGAGAGTGTTTCCCTGGGGCAAAGTAGCACACCTGCACTCACCAAGCAAGACTGTGCAGCAGGCACATGAATCCAGAAAGTCCAACTTGCACCACAGACAGGGAAGGCAGAGATGAGTAATGTCCTGGTGGGAAAGGGGCTGATGTGCACTGAGCCAGAGCCAAGGCAGCAGCCTGAGACGCTGTGGCCAAGCAAATGCTCAGCTGGTTGGGTATCTAAATGGCTGCTGGCCGAGAAGTCTGAAGAACACCGAGTACACAAACAAGGAGCTCTGGAGCTTGAGTATCTCCTCATCTAGAAGTGAGAAGTTGCAATCCATGCTGTTCTGAGGGGGGTGGCCTTCTCAAAGGCAATGCAGGCACCTAAGACACAGATCCAGCGACAAACCTCAGCCTTCGCAGGTGAAGATGTCTTGGATGAAAGCAGCAATTCCAAAACACATGAGCAGTAGCTGTACAACAAGCGTCAAAAGTTAAAGATTTTTCTTCTCTATGCATAATAAAAATGGTCTCTCTGCCTGATATATCATGCTCTGAGCAGAACGTCTGAGGACCTAAACCATGCCCTCCACACATCTCGCAAGAAAAACAAACTTTCTCATTTCATGACAGCTTACAAGTCCATCAAGTTTTATAACAGAAGCACAGATTTACTCAAAAGGTAAAACTTCTCCAAGTTTAACTAAATGAACGTGGAGAGAGAGTATAATTCTCTACACAGTAAGAAATGCTTTCCTCTCACTGGATGAAGAGGAAACACTGGTCTCAAACTCCCAAACCGTAACTGCTCATATCTGAACAGCTGAAAATGCTGCACTGAGGATAAGTCCGGTTCTCCACTGCAGAGCTTATTTACTATTTATGTATCAGAAAACAAATCGTTCCTTGCAATAATGCGCTCAGCCTCTATCACAGGCAGATCCAAGTAACAGGTCTGTTACTGCTACTTCCTTGCCATGCTTTAAAAGAACAAACCACCTGTCATTCCTCTAGACCACAGGGTCAGCCCATGAACTAAACTTTTTAAAAAATAAATCAATAATGTCAAATGCAATTGTAGTCACAATATAAGCTTGCAAACTAAGAGTCAATTAACATTCCACCATTAAAGCCACCAATGGAGCACCCCACTACACAGAACTTAATCACAAGTAACATTGTTTGAAGACCAGAAGTTGGAAACACAAGTCCCACGTTCAAGAGTTTTAAACTACTTAAGTCGAAATAAAATTTCCAGAAGCAATTAAGTTATAGTCTTCAGAACTGTTTCCCAAAAACATCTGGTAAAGATTAGAGACTTACAGAGAGTTTTTCAACAATAGCTGCTTTGCCCTGGAACTGCTGTCCTTCCCACGTAAGGCATGATGCATCGATCTGAGGGGAGGAAGAAAAAAAAGATTCATGAACCTGCTTAGGAAGCAATCCTGGTAAGAGATTTTTGTTCACTTGGCATATGTCCTTAGAATCCAGCTATTTGGAAAATACCTCAAAGGGAGATGGAAAGAAACCACAAATAGCAACTGAAAAAGTCTGCAATAATCAACTAGACATTAAGTAGATTAAATTTCATTATCATGATTCTACAACAAAAAAAAATTTCCTGCCTTTGGATCAAAGTTAGCTTTTAGAAGAGAATCTAAGGATATTAAAAAAAAAATAATCCTATGGACACAAAGTCAAGCATGTAGAGAGACAAAAAATACACGAAGAAACCTGACAAAATGAGTTGTACCACCAGTTTTTTTCCTCTCAGGTACCGATTTGCTTACCCCACTCACACCCAGGAAAGCCGAATGTGCCTCTAACGGTTTTCTAGCAGACTGCACTGTGTGGTGCAAAGTGACTGAGGTGCTTCAGCCTACAAGCACCTCCAACATGTGAGGGAGGGTGTTCTGTGTGCTGTCAGGTTCCACAGCAATCAGCAAGAAGCTTTCTATCCAGCTTAGGATGCTCTGTTGAAACCAGCCACAATATCCTATTGTTGACATAGCTCTGCCTTCTCAAACCCAATTTTAAGCCTCAAACAGGCTTCAATTTAAATGTTTCCAGTGAGCTAGAGTTTACCTGTTGCCACTTCCTTGCAGCACCCTCACCTGATACCCGATAGCCCAGGTACCCTATCACAGATAGCTGTTCCTTCCACCTTTTTGGGTTTAAATATCTCCAGGAACACGATTCCCAGCTCTTTCCCATCCAGTCTTCAACTCTCACTGAAGCTCTGAATGTCTCCGCAGAATGTGTCAGATTCCAAAGAACTCCACTTGTATGCTCTCTGGTAGATTTTCCAGGCCCTGTTTATGACCCACACCGTATCAAAAAGCCACTGCTTTCAGCCACGCATGCTGTACTGAAATTGTACAGCAGTCACAACCTAAAAAAGCTTCTGGTCCTCCAGGAATCATCAGAAGGAACTCTACAGTGCAGCAGGAGCCAGAAGAACAAACAAGGGGACCAGGGACAACAGCATGAAGCATTTCAGTGTCACAGACTGTAGAATCCCAGACTGGTTTGGGCTGGAAGGGACACTAAAGCCCATCGAGTCCCACCCCCTGCCATGGGCAGGGACACCTCCCACTAGCCCAGGTTGCCCAAAGCCTCATCCAGCCTGGCCTCGAACCCCTCCAGGGATGGGGCATCCACAGCTTCTCTGGGCAGCCTGGGCCACTGCCTCACCACCTGCACAGGAAAACATTTCTTCCCAATATCTCATCTCCATCTCCCCTCTTTCAGATGCAACCAAAATCACTAAGGTGAAGTAGCTACAAGTGTTTTCCTCCAAAACAACTGCAGGGGATAACTGTAAAACCAGTCTTTGACTTAGTACTCCAACTCACGCAACTCTAGCAATCCACAGCAAGTGACGGGCCCAGATCCCTCCCTGGAACAGGTGACAAAAGCTCCTTTGACATGGATTACACCACTAAAGGAGAAAACAGAACCTTACGGTGGAAGTAGCAAGACAGGAATGCAAAACAAATCCAAGAGCTCCCTGCATGCTATAAAATTTGTTTGCTCCCAAAGGGTCTCAGGAGGCAAAGAGCTCATCAGTAGAAGCGCATTTTTGCAGATTCTCCCCTTAATTTACACAAGTTGTGCCCCTGGTGCACTTTAGACACACAAAACAGGGTCTCATCCTCCATAGTTTAGGAACTCCACAAAACAATACACATCGGTGACCTGCATAACCGCTCTCCTGGCTACATCTGCATAGGTATCTCCACTGAATGATGAAAGGCAGAAAGACCCTAAGGGTGAAACCAGGAGCTCATTGTGAGGAAGATCTTGGTTCCAGGAATTTAAATTAGGCCCCACTTATCTCCAGTCTTCTGAGGATTGAGGGTATTTTGGTAATAACAGGACAGAAACTGATGAGTGCCTTCACGTTTACTGCTGTTGACTGAACACAGGACACTTGTTTTTCTTGCTTTATAGGCTCTCTCTACACAGCTTCTTGGCCAAAATAAGGCAGCAATCTCACAGATAGCAAACACACAACAATCCAAAGAGCAAACGCTATCAGTTGTTGGTGGATACCACTGAGGTATAAGGAGGGGTGTCTGCTGGTGTTCACACAACAGTTTCAATCCTCAAGAGCTTGATGAAGCTTCATACAATTCATCCAGCAGACCGAAAAACAAGTCAGAGAAACAGGATATGCTTCTGAAAGACCTGTAAGACTTGAGTGTCTTGCTGAAACACCTCAGCCACCCAGCAGCATTCCTCACCACCAGTAATCAACTCCACATCCAGAGCACTTTGCATGTTCTGGACAGTCTTCCCCTAAAACTAAAAGCTGATGTTCCTTGGGTTTGTCAGTTATGGTCCTTAATTTTGGAAACCAAATCTATTTTGCCCCAACAAAGGAGCAGAAATAACAATCTCATTTTTGAAGAAATTTAAGCTGAATATAAATTTCTTTAACAAAGTCTAAATATTTAAACTGGATTCAAAATTTTAAATCTATTTTAATGTTCTGAGGATTAAAACAGCATGAGAAATACCTGCAAGAACTGCTAAACACAGAGCAGAATCTAAATTACATCTCACTTCAAGACAGATCCAAGTAAATCCATGCCTGGAAATTAACAGCAAACTAAGGCTTGTATGTTTGTTTTTACAGAAAATTTCATCACAGAATCACCACCAGCTCCCTCCACTACAAACCACTGTCTACAGCCAACCAGGGGTTTTATGTCTCCAACTGCCTATAGGTAAGGCGGACAAAGCTCAAAATAAAAGTGAAACGTAAAAGAATTGCAATAAGTTGACTAAGTGTGATTGCACTGACTGACATTCTGGAGTCAGGATAAAACCCGCTATCCCACCCTGTGTATTCCCACACATCAAAACAGAGACATCTAGACTGACAACGGGAGAGTGCCCCAGCTCCCTTTTTGCCGATACTTACATATATTGCTCCTAACTGAGTCCTGTCTGCATCAAAAAGCTGGTAGTAATGTTGTACGAAGCTGGACCCAATCTGCTCCCAAATAGGCTTGTCTCCCATTCTGAATCCTCACCTAAAGCTGTAAAACAAACAAAAACAATCAGCAAGAACAATCACATAAATAAGCATAGCACTTGGCATATTAAGCACCAGCACAGATCCTCTCAGCTGGCCTGAATTTTTCTTTGGAAGAAGTAGGACAAATCTCACCTCTGTATCCTAGACTTTTGTGAAATAAAAATCTTGGATACCAAGTGGTTTGATTTCTTATTACAGTATTTGCTGATTTCTAGAGCTATTTTAGTGGGAGATCACAACTCGCACACAAAAGTGGAGAACAAGAACAAAAAACTAGTAAGTGTTACCACCTTATATTCACATATTTCAAAAATGACACCATCTGAGAAAGTTGGCTAGCACTTGCTATTCTGACTTGATCTCATTTACTGGAAACAACTGACGTGTTAATATGGACTGTCTGCAAGCAGCTTACACCAACGGATCTACCTATTCAGCTTCTGGGATGTTTCATCATCCACAAGCCATCCTAAGGAAGGGTGTCCTTCCAGTGGTGCACAACAGGAGTTAATTCTCTAGCTCTTTGCTTAACACAAGCTTATTTTTTAAAATCCACTTTCCTCTTCTCTCTTGGCACTGAGGCTGAAGTGTACAGGTTCAAAGACAAACGTCAAGCAGTAATTTCAAGATGCAAACCATGATTTTTCATAGTGGTGAGAATCTGCAGTTCCCAGTGGAGGTACTGGAAGCTCAGAGGCATCACACAGTTCTGAACAAGAGTCCCTCTGTTTTAGAAAGACTAAACACGCACACGTGAAGTCACACAGACACAGTCTAGAAACTGTCACGCACCATTGGTACAGATGATCACTTTCCCATCCCATTATGTTTCTCAAGAAAGCAAATTCATTTTTTTCTTTATCCTGATCTCTCTCTAACAGACTGAAGAACTGTGATAGAAGTCAAAACACACCGATGCTGTGCTCAAACCCCACTACATTGCATTTTAAGATCCGAGTTCACTTTAAGCAAACTAAGATCCACTTGTTAAACATCCAGATCTGCCAGTCACAGTCTTTTTTTGCAATACCTGACCAGGAACCCTTGAGCTACAGGTCTGTATTTCACTGCAAGTCTGGAAAGCATCTAAGGCATGAAATCCTGTTTTAGGACACAGGACATGACGGTTATTTTGACCTCCTTTAGTTGTCATTTACTCAAATACCTGTTTGACAAATTCCCAACAGAAACAAAAAACATATTTGTAAGATCTCCACAGCAAGAACCAGGCCCAGCTGCCTGTGCAGAGCCGGACGAGAAAGCTCTTTGCACATTTTAACCTGTGGCTGCTTGAGCTTTACTCATACACATAGGAACTGAAATGGGTTCAAACCCTAAGCCACAAGTTTTTAGGTTACACAAATGTGGGCAGACTTTGAGGAGAGCAAATATCTTTGAGTAGTTTCATGGTATAGCAGGAGGTAGCACACAAGTTTTCAGGGTAGTAAATTCAACTGCCAAAGTAAAATACAAACCAGGAACAACTGCTAGAGCTTAGACACCCAGAGGACTTGAGGGAGAAAACGGTTAGCATCTGCGGAGCAGAGAAAGTCACAGCATCGAGAGCTGGAAAGGGGTGGGTCTCCCTGCTGAGAAAGGGGTGTTTTGTAGCCTGTGAAGAGAGGAGAGGTTCAGGAGGAGCTTTGGCTGTGACAGTGCAGCACAAAAGCATGCCACAGACTCCAGTTTCTGATATACAGCTGATGCTGGCTGCCTGCTAGTTCTCAAGTGCACCTTAGAAATTTATTTTATTCAAGGATGAGGTCAAAAATGAACTTAAGCTAGAAACATGCCCATCCCATCCCTTATTTCAGTGTCAACCACCTAGGCAATATGGCCAAACTCAGTAACCCTGCACACTAACATAGACTAAAAATTCAAAGACTTGTTGCCACATAACTAATATTTGAACCGCTTCAAAAAGATCTACAATCTGCCATCAGCCACCATCACATGCGCTCCTCTAATACTTGCAATATGTGACTCGGTCTGAAGGAGTTTCACCCAGCATGGTCACTCCTCCAGGGAAACAGATCACAAATTCAAAATTCATCCAAGTACAACAGGTTTAAAAACCAAAACACAAACACACCCCGAACAACTTAAACCTACTTCTTTACAAGAGAAAGAGTTGTATTGATTGCACATCCACAATTGCCACGTACCAGCCCAGCCTGGAGCAGGTGTAGAAATCAAACTACTTCAGCCTGTGTTAAAGGATTTTATGTTGAAAGAAACCCCCCCTAAAACCATCGCACCAGCTACCTGGAAACATCACTGGGGGATGCCCACCCTGCTGTCAGGTAGGACACTCATGTCTTGTTTGGAAAAGCAGGAGTACTAGTATTTAGTTCTGAAGTCTTCTGTTTCCATTCTTAGAGGTACCTAGAGGTCTGTAGTGCCGGATAGATGTGGTGGAGCCAACAACCAGCCCAAGTGCAAATCACTTCCATTAACTTTGTATGGATCACCATAGCTTCAACTTCAGTCCAGGAACTCACATCACGATCAGATGTCCTTCCTCAACACTGACGTGTGAATCTAGTTGACAGTACTGATGTTAAGAAGTCACACACCTAACATTGAGATGAATTAGTGAACAGCAAAAACCCCCCAGCTTCTTCTCCTGAAGCTAGTTACCTATTGCTAAATGAGTGTTTCCTCCCCCACACACAACGTGTATTCACCCTTTACAGCTCACTGCACCATCTCGCAAACCCGAGATCAAGCTGTATGCTAGTGCTGCGCCTCATTTTTCAACTCCTCAAGGCACAACAGCCTCGCTCGAGCACCAGCTGCCTTCTGTTCAATCCTGAAACTGCGAGAAAGCCTTTAAGACTGCCTGAAATTAAGGAATTCATATTTTAAATACAGAAAGTAGTGTTACGGTTTCTAAAACTAAGATTTAGTATGCTAGCTTGTTATCTCCTTCTACAAAAACGTACTTGTATTTTGGCAGGTAAAATACCATTAAAAAAACAGCATAAATTTGACCAGTGATAATTTTTTTTGTCAGAAGTGAGAACCAAACTAAACAAAAATGCTGCCGAAATTAATGATCCTTTTTGTTTTTTGTTACAACCCTGCTCTTTCTCGTGTGCCACTCATATATGATTTTGCTGAACACTCTCACTCGCCCTGGAAAAGTTTCTTTTCCTTTTCTGATCTGTCACCTTTTCCTCCATGCTGTCTCATGTTTTCTGCCTGTCATCACAGATGTAAGCCGCTTAGAGAGGTACCTAGAGAAAAACATAGGAATGAAGATCTGTGCCATCAAGCCCAGTCCCCTTCAACGAGAGACAACCCATAGAAGACTGTATCGATACACTTATCAGGCCATTTCAATGAGACACATGTACTATAAAAGGCTCTTAAGATATATTCTGAAGCTAGGAAGAAAGCACATTCTGATGCTGTCAAACACTAGCAGAACACAGATGTGCCTCAGAGCCATCCAGTCAAATCTGCCCATGGTTCAAAGTTTGGTTACAGAGGCAAGAATATTGAATGTTAAGCCAGATAAAAGAAGTTTCAATAAGCTAGAAAGTACACAAGACACGGCACACCTGTCCTTTCAAAGAAAGGCACCTGCTGAAAGTTACCACTCTATAAGCGTATTACTGGACATTTCACCTTAATTCCCCACGGAGAAGGAGACAGCTTCCTTAAGCTAATTAATTTTCTTTCCTTTGTCACTTCAAACCAAACCTACCTCATCGCATCCACTTAAGAACACCACAGGCCATTCGACCAACAGCTTCTCCACTGAAGCACAGCAGCAAAGCTGAGCTACCAGCACAAAGTGAAACACTTCAATTCACATTACTTTATTTCTTGGAATCTGCTCATATTAGAGAATTTATCCCACCTCAAACACCACCCAGCAGTCAGCACTCAAGCTGAATCCCAACGCAGCGCACACAAGCTGCAGCTGCCCACAACCCTCTCTTCTGCAGGTCGACGCTGACCCTGCAGAACTGTGATCGCTGCTCCACAGGGGTCCCTTCCTCTGTGACATCTAAATCCAATTTTCCAATACCTTTGCCAGGCCGCCCACTGACACATCTTCAGCTGTAAACTCCGGCCCTCTACACGTCTCTCACCACGTGCCCTACAGCTTCCACCCTCCGCGGCACTGCGGTATCCCCAGTGTCTTCATCCCACGTCCATCCCCCAGGCTGGCACAGCCGCCGCTGCACAACACCTTGGGGCACGCAGCACCCCTGAACACACAGCGAGGCTCCTGCGTTCACCGTCCCGCAGCACAGGAGAGGGACGTCAGACCCCAAACTATGCAGAACATCCCAGCTCCCCACCACCCCGGGCTTTCCTACCCACAGTCACAGACTCCCAACATCAACAGGACTTCCACAGGGCCCCACAACACCAGCAGCCCAGCCCGCGCTGTCTACACCGCCCAGTGCTTCTGCTGCTGCTCAACTTTGCCTCAAGCGTCCAAGGCTGCGCTACAGCCCGACCTCTCCCCCTCCTTTCCCCACAGTCTCCTCCAGCTTGTTGTGTCCTGTGCTACCAGCCACGTGGGTCCAGGAGGGAGACAACTGCCCGGATTAAACTCCCCTCACCTGCTTTGGCACGTGGCAGATGGCACCGATGTGATGTGAAGCTGCATGACCCAAACAGGAGTAGCACTAAGGAGGAAAGAAAGGTGTGAGACAGAGGAGGGCTGAAGGTAAAGGCTTTCACATGGGCCATAAGCGACCTTGACTCAGACTAGGGTTACGCTGGCCTCAGGGAACAGGTCTTCTGTCCACAAAATGCAGAAATACAGAATCTTTCCCATCGCGTGTCACAGCTTAGGTGTTCCTATCTACACTCATCCCTCTTCCTTCTCCGCCTTAACTCTGGGCATGAGAGATCTGCATGAACACAGCAAGACCGCCCATAACTCCCAGGGGGAACACAGTCCTCAAAAGACCCACTTCTGCAAAAGGTCTGGATGAAAACTCTTCCCATTGCTGCCTTCAACAAACAAGAAACCACG